GGGGGGGGGGGGGGGGGGGCAAATGTCACTACCCCAACAAAATATGACAATTTTCATCTTTTAATCTGGGAATTAGGGTGGGTCACCATGTACACCCCACTACTGAACTTTTCAGGTATTTTCATGTACCCTAGGGTCCACTCTTTCAAAACAAAAACCCTAATCTGTACCCCTAATTTTGATGGTCACAATAGAAAAGGGGTGTGGCCAAAAAGGGGTCCCTGGGAGGCAGTGAGACCCAAATTTTTTTCTGTTAACATGCATTTTCTGAAAGAGTGGACCCTGGGGTACATGAAAGTACCAGAGACGTTCAGTAGTGGGGGTGGGGGTGGGGGTGCACGGTGAGCCACCCTAGCCCATGGACTATACACACCATATTGTTTGATTGTGTAGATGACACACAACTGTGTGTTAGAGTGTTAAAACTATCCTTCATGTTATTCACATACATTTAGTCTTCAGATTGTAAATATAGCATCTATGAGGTTTAACCATCAAGACATGAAAAGCTTTTAAAGGGATAATTATAATTACAATGTGGCGTTCAGTGTAAAAGATATTCATCTTACCCAGTTGTAGATAAAAAGCTCTTAGAATGGCCTCAATTTGCCCAAAAAATGATCATTTACATATATCTGGATGAATGTGGAAACAGCACTATGGTAGCTGTAGCACTTCCTGTGCAGCCTTGGACACTTTCTGCAGGATTTCCACAATATTTCTGTCTGGATAATTGTAATAATAACATAATGGTATAAAGGTTTGTAAAATATCAACTGTATGATCCAATTAGAAAATTTTGCAATCTTGTTTGTTTGATGTTTTGACTCATTTACAGCCAGAAACCAAACTTTATTTATTTAAACTCAGACTGTTCAAATGTCTACAGCAGGAAAATTAGGAATCTTTCAGAATTACCTCACTTCCAAAGATCATGATCTTTTGCTTTTAGGTAGAAAGCTAAAGAAAAGAAAACAGAGGAATGAAAGCTGTTTATGTTTATTGTTTCATTTTTCTGTTGTTGTTGGCACACATGTTTGACTTTTAAGAAAAATGTCTTTAAAAAGTGTGAATATGCTTTTAATTACCTTTTAGTTATACATTATATATACAGTATATATATTTAGGATGTTTTACTGGTTAAACTGAAAATAGTACATTTAGAACTGCCAGAAGAAAACCATAAAATTCATTAAAGTTGAACATCTTTTTCTAGAATCTAGTATTTTCTTACATTCTTGTTTCAGTGTTCCTCTCTGTTCTCTGAAGCTCTTTCAGTTTCAGTTCCACAATCTCTAAACACATACATTACATGTATACAAATACACAGCACATATACACAGTAATACTCAGTTATACAGCGGGTAAAATAAGTATTGTACACATCACCATTTTTCTCAGTACATATTTTACTAGAGGTGCTAATGACATGAAATTTTCACCAGACGTCGGTAACAACCCAAGTGATCCATACATACAAAGAAATCAAACCATAAATG